TTTAAAAAGGCAATTTACAGGTCAACCGCATTTAAGTTGTTAATTATTTCAGACATTTTATCTCTCTCTCTCTCTCCCATCCCACCACAGTGAATTTCCGCTTTAAATAACTGAATAAGTGTACGAAGTGTTGAATAATTTTTGATTTATTGTAAATTCCATATGAAATGGCATATTTTGCATGATTTTTATTTACGCACATATGCACGTATGCTTGTATGTATGTATGTGTAAAGACAAAATGAGTTTGTGAAAATTCCTTCTGTTAACAAAAATGTCGTGCAACATTTAATGAAAATCATACAATTTAACAAATTAACACAGAAATGAATGTGCACTAACGTGTACATAAACATATTTGCACAACCGGACGAAGATGGGCAAGTAATGTTTTTTTGTTAAAAAATCGTATTTGTAATTAAATGCAGTAATTAAGAGTTGTTAATTTATTTATATTGTAGCAACAAATGTAAAAATGTATATATTTTTGTAAATATGTTTGTATATAACTGTCATTATTATTGCTGATTTTGATGGAAATGCAACAAGCACATATTCACATATAAATGTTTGTTGGTATTGTTGGTATGTTGAAAATATTTAATTTGTTCACCAATTATTTACACACTTTATTGTTGTAATACTTTTGCTGTTAAATATTTACAACGTCACTTTGCATAAATTCAGCACATATGCACATCTTGCACGTATATACTAAAATAGCATTCTGATCAAATTTATGAAATAACTGAATTGAATTTGATTTTATAAAATTGCAATGATACATTTTTGCACCAAATTTCTCAATTGCTAAACGTATTACATTTTTTATTCATAATTTTGTCATTTAACTTTACTTTAATTCACTTCACCTCTATTCTATTCCATTCAATTTTTTTTTTTTTTTTTGCTTCTTTAGTATATTTTGCTTCATTTGCTTTTTTATTCACATTTATTTAAATTATTTATTTCATTTTATACAAATTTTTAGTTTTCATAATTTTTTTTTACTTATTTTACTTTATTAAATTTCATTTATTTTATTTTTAGTTATTATATTTTATTTGATTTTTATTTAATTTAACTCTATTTTATAGCATTTTATTTAATTTTTTAAAATAAATTTTATTTTATTTTATATTTAGTTATATTTAAATCATTTAATTATTTAATTATTTTAAATTAATTTCATTTTATTTTAATTTTAGCTATATTATTTTACGTTTTATATTTAATTTTATTTTAATTCATTTAATTTAATTTTTTTAATTAATTTTATTTTATTTAAATTTTTCGTTATATTATTTTATTTGTTTTTTATGTAATTTAATTTTAATTCATTTTTTCAATTTTTTAAATTAATTTTATTTTATTTTATATCTAGTTAAAAAAACTTATTATTTTATTTTATTTTCTGCTTTATTATTTGATTTGTTTGTTATTTTATTCTGTTATATTATATTTAGTTCTTTTATTTTTTTAAATTAATTTCATTTCATTTGAATTTTAGCTACATTATATAATTTTTTTTTATTTTATTTTAATTCATTCAATTTAATTTTTTTTAATTAATTTTATTTTATTTTAATTTTAGTTTTATTATTATATTTGTTTTTTATTTAATTTAAATTAACTTAATTTTATTTCATTATACCAAACGTTATTTGATTTTATTTATTTATTATTTAGTTATTATACTTTACTTTATTTTATTTTATATTACTTTATTTAGTTTTTATACTTTATTTTATTTAAAATTATTTTATTTTTATTTATTTCATTTTATAATATTTTAATTTATTTTTTTAGCTTATTTCGTTCCAATTTATTTTACTTAATTGAAAGATTTTTTTATTTTTATTTTTTTTTTTTCATTTTATACAGTATTATTTTTTTTTTGGTTTCATAATTTTTTTTTAATTATTTTACCTTATTGAATTTCATTTCATTTTATTTTTAGTTATATTATTTTATTTTAATTTTAGTTTTTTATTTTATTTGTATTTTATTTAATTTAATTTTTTTTATATTAATTTAATTTTTTTTTTTAGTTATAATATTTTATTAGTTTTTTATTTAATTTTATTCAATTCTTTTAAATAAATTTTATTTTGATTTAAATTTAGTTATTTTTTTATTTTATTTTAATTTTAGTTATATTATTTCATTCATTTTTTATTTAGTTTAATATTATTTTATTGCATTTTATTTAATTTTTTTAATTTAATTTTATTTTATATGATATTCAGTTATTTTATTTACTTTTTTTTTAATTAATTTCCTTGGGTCTTAATTTTGCTGTATTATGTTATTTGTTTTTTATTTAATTTTATTTTAATTCATTTTAATTATTTTTTTTTTAAATTAATTTTATTTTATTTGAATTTTGGTTATATTATTTTATTTGTTTCTTATTTAATTTTATTAAATTTTTTTAAATTTATTTTGTTTAATTTTATGTTTAGTTTTTTTTTCATTTTATTTTATCTTTAAATATATTATTTGATTTGTTTGTTATTTTATTCTATTTTATTTTAGTTTTAGTTATAATATTTTATTTGATTTTTATTTAATTTAATTTTAATTAATTTTATTCAATTTTCTTAAATTTTCTTTTATATTATATTTAGTTATTTGATTTTATATTATTTTTTTATTCTTTTCATTTTATTATTCATTTTATTTATTTTGCTTTATATAAATTTATTTTTTTCGTTAGTTCATGTGGTACTCATACATGGAGCTTCTTTTTGTATCCAACCTTTTTCAAGTGCTACCAAACCCTTTTTTTTGTGCAACGTTTATCTCCCGAGCTCGTACTACGGTCAAATTTTACGATTTTAATGAAGAAAATTGTACATTAGAATGGTTGGAACGAAATCTACGAACCATAAAAACTATTCACTTTTTCAATTACCTCTGCCTGAAATTTCGCCTTTATCGAAGATGCTGGTATCCTTCTTTGCCTTGCTCTAAAGCACTAGTGGTTGATATTAAGTAGTCAACACTTTTCCTATTGTCTTTTTTTAGTACACAATATCAGCTTTCCAACACCATCTACCGTAATAGAATCGCACTTAGAGAACGCAACACACAAACCAACAAGTGGATCTATCGCAAAAATAATGGATTACTTTTTACTAAGTCTAATATATAGATAGAGATGTAATTCTTATTTCAATTTATTTAAATATATAGTAGTTTGATATCAATGAATCTGTATTTATTTCAAATTTCATTTTTTATTTTTATTTATATTATTTTGCTTTATTTAATGTATTTAATTTTACATTATTATTAAGATAATTGTAGAATTTTTATTTCTTGTTTGTTTATATATAATTTTCTATTTGATTTAATTTGTTTTTAATTCTGTTGTTTTTAAGTTTTTTTTTTTTGTTTTTTTTTTATAATTTTATATTTATTCCACTTTCATATAAGCATATTTATGAGTATATAATAGTGTTAATATGTGATTTGCATTCAAATGAAATGAAGTAATTTCATTTAAATAAAAATATTGAAATTTTCTACATTTCACAGCGTTAATTCATATCTGCAAATTTCTTCTTTTTTGTGTTAATAAATAATAAATAAAAAAAAATTTTGAAATTAAGTTTTAAAAGCTTCCATCTATGGCATTTAAATTATGCATTTTCCATTTAGCAATTATTTTGAATTTAAGTTAATTCTCTTTTTTCATTGTTTGAGGTCTTTATTTACTTACCTCGATGTAAATATGAATATTTAGCACTGCTATGTTGTGTAATTAAATAATTTTTTAGGCTTTGAATGTGTTTCAATTTGTTATGCCTTTATTTCGCTACCATCTAACATTACAGTTTTTCCCTTAATTAATTAAGAATGGAATTTGTTATTTGTTTAATTTTATATTCTTATACATTATTAAACATTTTATTTAATACTTTTTGTTGTTCAGCTAAAAATTTCTTTGCTTTTATTATATTTGCTTACACATGTCAAATCAAATCAACTCAAATTTTCTAAACAATTTTTTGTGCCTTTTTATTGGTTATATACAGTTATTTATGCTCGTACCCTGCCGGAAGAAGGTAGACTAGTATGCGAAACTTCGAGTTGTTTTTGTTTAGCAGTCCATTAGTAACGGTAGTAATAATAATTTCCACCACCGTGTGTTTTTTTATTATCCACCACGCCACGGCTGTATTCCATCGTAAAAGTGAGTCGTCAATGGGTGCCGCTGTAGCGCGTTAGATTCGAGTCTCGCTGTTTGTGGTTAGCTGGACATTCAACATGCTTAAATGAACTGGTATACAACTAGTATGAAGCTGATGCATAGTCGAACAATTGGTAGTTCATAGAATATTCCGTGTTAGAAATAGCAGTTGCTTACTCGGGAAATAAATGGAAGATGCACTACTCAGTGCAAAAGTGCAAACTAGTTGGATTATAGTTAACAACTAGTATTTCTCCCTGCAGGGTATGTACAATTATTTACATATTTGTTTGTATGTTTAATTACTTCCTCTTCATGTGTAAATAAAATACGAGTATTAAAATATTTCATTTGCACACACATTTATTTGCATTTCCATTTAATTGAATACAGATTTTTTTTTTTAAATCTTCCTTCAGTCTTTGGCAGCAATCACAGCAAATTTATTTACTTCATACCTTTTGGGTTTAGGAATTTAATTAATTTATTTTACCAAATGACAGCTCTTGAAAATATTATTTAAGTATTAGAAGCTTAAGAAAAGGAGCTTACACAGCTTTACACGAAACGAGTAAGCTTTTGCTATTGAGAGGTAGCAGAAATTCTAACAAATCTTCAAATTGTTGCAGGTGAAGCATTAGTTCATATGTATATATGTACAAAACACATGTACATTTCAATTAAGTGAATGCCAGCCTGGGTTGAGGGCGAAAGCAAGGAATGAGTAACGAGTACAGATTGATTTTTCATCAAATCTATTCATCAATATTTATAGAAACAAATATTTGGTTGCGGTGAAGAGCAGTGTGTGTCGGTCTGAATTTACTTTATAAGTTAGGATCGATTTTTACTTTCTTAATGTTATTAATGGAAACGAATACGCAAAGTGAGCAGTAGAGAGCGCGTTACTCGTGTTTAGTGCTAGAGGCCCGACGAGAGAGAGTTTCTCGCGCGAGAGAGAGTGCTTAATACATGCATGGCTCTAAACTCATTACTAATAACTAAGAAAACTGAAGATTTGTGCGCTGAGTGTTTACCTTTTCAGTCGAAGAGTAATGGAAATTCATAAAAACTTATTCCGACGATCTGAAGAAAGACACATTTTTTGTCTGTTTCAAAGCAGTACGAAAGGACTTTCACTTTTCTATCATAAAAAAGTGAAAATAATAATTCAACTCATTCAAATATACAAGCTGAAACTTAGGCATCATCGAGAGGCACCTGCTACTAGGTGGACAGCGTGAGCGAGTCTCTTTGATGATCAATATTTATCTAGCTTTTGTCTGAGTAGAACTTAAGAGAACTCACTTGGGAGCAATTTTACTCAACTTGAAACATCCTTCACTCTCCAAGTCATTTTATTCCGTGAATGAGCGTATTTTTAACGAGAACAAAAAAATAGAGGGTTTTCTAACCAGGACGACGAAATTTCCATATTTTTTTCATCGGTAGGCCTACTATGTAAACCTATATCTGGTAGCAATCCAAGACGGAAGGTCGCAAGTTCTCTTTAATTTTGCTCATACCACCAGCTCAGGGGACAAAAACTTTTCTTCCAGTGGTAGGATTATCTGTTGGGACATAGAATTACCTGAATATTGGTTAGTCATCACCTCTTTTAAGCTCTAATAACTGGGAAACATTCTTCATCATCACATAGTACATTGCCGTTTCTAAAATATCTGAGCCCTTCCTGGTTAACTCCCTAACTGTTACATCATACTTCGAAGTTAATTATCTAATTTAACGAAAAGTAAAGTAAACAAAAAAGAAACAAATAAATAAATATTAGATAACACATTTATTAGCTAACTGCCGTCTACGCTCTAATTCCACCTTATGAAATACCCAAATTATGAAGTAAATGTTGCTTGACTACCTCACCCCCCTCCTCCTCGAGCATTTGCGCAGTGACCGTGTTGATGAGATTGAACGCAATTGCGAATAACATAAAAGCCGCATAGACACCCAAAGCCAGCCACCACAACAGCTTCGAGTGAGACGCTTGCGACGAGTCGAAATGCCGCAGCACAAGGCAGCCCATCGTGAAACCCGCCAAAACGCCGCAGAGATGAGCAATGTATGAAATGGTCGGCAGAGTTTCGCGAACCATGGAGGACGACGCAGAGTTGCTGTTGTTGTTTTGATATTTAGAGTACAGTGCATAGCAGAGATCACAGGAAACTGTGAATAATAAATGAAAATGAATATTCTAAAAAAAATAAATTATATAATGAGATACATATATTTCGGGTGTGTGTACATATGTTCAAGAGATTTATAATATTTCCGTGTTGATTATATGATTACTAAATTTGTAAATTATTATTTTTTACTTTGAAACATAATATTCTCAGAATGAAAATGAAACTACGGTAATAACAAACAAATAAATCGCTAATGGCAACCTTCAAGAAAAAATATTAAAATAAAATAAAAACAAAAAAATTAAATAAAATAATTAAAGTAAAATTATCGTTTAATAATATAACAAATGTATAAAATAAAAAAAATTAAATTAAAACAAACTACTATGAAAGATAAATTAAATAAAACAATTATAAAATTAAATTAATTAATAACAAATTATAATGACATCAATTAAAAAAAAAAAATATTTAAAAAATTATATTAAATAACTGAAAAAGGAAAACTAAAATATGTCTATAAAAAAATAAAAAGTTATTACATAAACTAAAATTAAAAAATAAGAATAAAATAAATTAAGTGAAAAAATCTATTAAATTATAGAAAATAAATGAAATGAAATAAAATATAAAATAAAATATTAAAGTAAAATGACGTGAGTTATACGAAAGCTTAATCCAATAAAATAAAAAATAATAAAATATTATGAGCTAAAATTATATTAAATAATAACAAATAGCAATAGAATTAAACAAAGTAAAAATAAATAAGATTAGCCCGATCAAAATAAACTAACGAAAAATAAGGAATAATAGAATAAATAATTCAAAAAATTAATAAATCAAAAAATGAAACGATTTTAAATTAAGTAAGATAAAATAAATAAAAATAAAATAATACCAACCAGATATAAATAAATAAAATAATGATATTAAATAGTTGAAATAAACTAAACGAAACCAGAATTAACCATAAAAGGAATAAATAAAAAAATATAATAAAACCATTTTTTCACTTTTAATAATTAATTTAATTTATTTTTAATTGTAATAAATTAATTGATTTAATAAAATCAAAGAAAATAAAATTAAAAATTTGTAAAAGTCATTACTATGTAGAAATAAAATAAATTAAAAGTAAAAAAACTAATTTAAATCAAATAAATTATTTTAAAATAAAATAAAATAACAGCGAAATAAAATTCACTTGAATTAAATAAATTTTTATCAATCAAGTAAAGGTATAAAATAAAACAAATAATAAATATAAAAAAAAATTAATAAAACAATATATAAAAAAAAATAATTTTAATACATGAACTTAGAAGATTAAAAAAAAAATTAAATTTATTAAAAAAAATTAAATAAAATAAAAAATATAAAACATGCTAAGTACATAAAAAATTGTAAATTGAAATAAATCAATTCCCATTATTCATTAAAAAAATTAAAAAAAAAACAATATGAAATAAGGTAAAACATATAAAAAACATAAAAAACTAAACAATATCAGAATAAAATAAAAAAACATAGAAATGAAAATAAAATAACATATAAAATTAAAAAAAAAATTATTTACACAATATAAAAACAAAAAAATATATATATTTTAAATAGTAAAATAAATATAAAATTAGTATAAATTGACAGTAACAAATTAAAAAAAAAAATAAAATAACTTAAAAAAACACAAAACAAAAACAAAATATCAAAATAGAAAAAAGTGACGAGAAATAAATAATATGTAAATAAAATCAAAAATCAAAAATACATTATTAATATATAAAATTAAATAAAAATACTAATCAATTAAGTAATTTAAAAAAATAACAATGCAAATGAAACAAAAAGTAAATGGAAATTCAAAAAATATTAATTAAAAAATAGTCTTGAATAATTTGAGAAATACTGAAATAAAATAAAATTATGTAAATATAAAACCAAAAAGTAATAACTAAAAAAAACTTAATTAAAATAAAATGCATTATGAAAATAAAAGAATGTATAAAAGAGAATAAAAAAATAAATGAAAACAAAATAAAAATTAAACAAAGTTAAATTATCTTAAAATAAAATAAATAACACAAAATTATTTTGAATTAAAATAATTAGAAATAAAAGTTATGAAAAATAAATAAAAAATAAATAAATTGTAATAAAATAAAAAAAGAAAAAAAATTATATAAAGAGAAAAAAAATTAAATTAAATTAAATAAATATTATAAAACTTACCAAACACACCGATCCGTCCGAGCTGCGTCACACCGCTACGCATTTGACTGAAATTCAGCAAAATATTTGCAAAATATGCAGCCAATAATGCGTAAACACCGCCGCTCGCACCCACCAAATAGACACCGGAGTCGACGACACTGGTGCCCAGCGAGCCGGCAAATACGCCAGCCAAATAGATGATGGCAATGCGCGCCGAACCGTGCACCCACTCCAAGGGCAGACCGTAAGCGAGCTGTGCGAGTACATTGAAGCTCAGGTGATAGCAATTCGCGTGCAGCAGCATGTAAGAGACGTAACGCCAAAGTTGCAGACGACGATCTGGCCGATAGATAAGCGACGATTCGCTGCTGATGCCTGTGTGTGTGTCCGCAAACGACATTCCGTTCGTCTTTGGCTCTACCTCCGCATTTGTTGTCGTCAAGTGGACTGCCATGTAATCGTATATGAAGACGGCAATCTGAAAGTTTAAGTTGGAAAAGTTGGATGATGAAGAAGAAGAAGAGGGGCACAAATGAATTTATGAAGAAAACTTAGATGCTATAGAAATGTTGAAATTGAAGACGATTGTGGCTGTTGTTGTTGTTGCTGCTGATATTGTTTGTTTGCATGAAAATATCGTCGCATCATCATCGTTGTTGGGAAATCTCTGATGATTGTGGGAAATTCATGTTGTTTTGTGTTACGCAAAGTGCACGCTTATTGTCTATTGTTTAATTGTTAAGTACCGTTATGAAATTCCATTTGACATGTGCTGGGCTGAATAGGCAGAGAGTGCGGATGGCAGAGTGTTGCTTAGTCAATCTCTAACTTAGATACATACATTTGAGACCACCGACGAGCAGATAAGGCTTCCTCTTCGAGGAGAAGGGTGAATGCCAATTTTGGGAGTATACAGATTAAGAGAGGTCTGGATTCCATCATTTAGAGAGTACCTCCGTCAGCTGGTAGATCTTCTCAAATAATTTAAGGATGGCAATGCTGGCTTTAAGATCTGCGTGACTGCTAATAGGAAAATACCTCCTTCCTATTCTGGCTTTAATTTCGGATGCAATGATGGGCAACTTCGTCGCAATATGCCGAAAATTCCACTAGGGAACCCACTACAATGAACTGGCAATAAATAATTTGCCTGGGTGAAATATATGTTCGTCTAAAGAGCTCGGCTGTAACCCAAAAAACTTTATTTACAACTAAAGGGAGGAAATAAAAAACTTCAGCTAAGAAACGTTGCCACTCGTACAGCAAAGATTCGTGCAGTGCTTTAGAACCCTGACAGTGCTCCGTGGAAATACGTATACAGGTGTGCTATGCGATAGAGCTTAATGCTCCCTCCGTACCGGAGCAAGGGATGCCGCAATATCACAAAATTATGTAAAGGGTTTTCCAATAAGAGGCATTATTTTGAATTGCCTACTATTCCGTTAGATGTCTCTTTGTAAACTGACATTTTTTGACATTTGAAAGCTAAAAGTACGCCAGCAATAAGAATGACGTCGCATTGAAATCAGTAAAATTCACTATGAAATTGGTGAAAACCTGGTGGAGACGGTTCGTAAAACTAAAATATTTTTTGGCCGTCGTGAAGCACCTTGTCGGACCTCAAAACAGAAATTGGTGAACAAAATGGAGCTTTTTGGACAAATTAGTGATGTAAAGAAGAGGAAATGTGCTCGTCACTCAAGAACAATTGATGATCTTGCTGTTGTAGCCTAAAGTGTGGAAGAAACCCGTGATTTCTTCATTCCTCGACGTACCCTGGAAGTGGGCATTCCACAATCGACATTTCTCCATATTTTCCATAAAGACTTGGGCATTAAGGCTTTTAAAGTTCAGTTAATACAAGAATGCAAGCCAGATTGTCACGTGTCTTTGCTGATTGGGTCCTTAAAATATATGAAAATGATCCGGCAATAAGCAAAACTGTCGCATCTGGGGCTCGAAAACCCCAATATTTATTGCTCTCTCCATCCTCAACGAGTAACTGTTTGATGTGGATATGGTCCATGCCACACGCAACGAAACCATCGACGATCTTTTAAGGGTAAAACTTCCGGACCATGTTAGCTCTCGAAGAGGGGCTCCCAATTGTGTACCGAGATGTTGTGACCTTACGACTACTTCCTTTGGCGCCACATGAAAGATAAATCCAACAGGCCAACGTCGACTCAAGATCTCAAAAATTAAATTGCTGAAGGCAGAGAAGAGTACGGTCCTGGAAGCCTACCAGCCGTGGCATATCCCTCTCTTTACATTGAAATAAACATCCGATCATTTATCTCTAAAAAAGCCATTTTTCTCAACACGAATATTGCTCTAAAACTAAGCGCACCGAATGTTTTCCGAGGTCTACATATTTTGTAAACTGAAGTAGCAGGGAGACGCATTTGCATAGTGAAGCCAAAACTTGGAAGTTCGCGGATGGGTAGCTAAAATCTAGGGGGTGACTCTCGAGAGGCATACAGGGTCATAGAAAGTATGCCAAGAACTAGGCGATCCCAGCAGCATCCAGCACACAACTCGTAAATAGGAAAAAGCTTCTCCGACGAACAAAGCATAATCAAAGGTGAGCATCTAGGAGTAATATGTTTTTGGTGTTTGAACGCTCAAAACAGCTTATGACCTTTATAGTCTTTCAGAGAAAAGCCCATTGCAGAAGAGCTGTGGATCTTTTATACTTCCGAAGCCCATTTCGAATCATTACAACTTTAAGAACCGCCTCCTAACATGTCTCGCAATAACCCCTGCGGGGTAATGGTTAAAGAGTTTTCCCGCGCATGGCTGTCGTATGAGGTGATTAAAATCCAAAAGATCCCGCGTCAGTCAGTTCAGGACTGGCACAGTCCCCAAAATCTACTTTGAGCAATATTTTGGGAATAGGGGAGAGAAGCTTACATTTAGATACTAGAGGCAGTTTAGCAGCATCAAGAGCTATACAATTAGCCACGTTCTGCTGGAAAAAAATAAATGAGTATTTAGATATTAGCAAAAAGCACACTCAGCAAAACAATGAGCAAATGGTTTAAGTTCTTTCGAGAGCTTTTGAAAAGCCATACCAAAGAAGCTTTCAATAAACAGGCGAAACACTTTAGCATTCGAAATAACGAACCCAATGAAATACTTCTATCTTTGAAAGCATACTAATAAAGTGAGTGTAAGAGAGGGAAGTGCAAGCGGAGTCTCTAACTTCGTTAATCGCGAAACTGATTGATTGCCGAAAGAAAAAGAAAGAAGTTCCAAAGGGCATTCCTTACCACTCAAACTAGATATCTTAACAAAGAGAGGAAGAGCAACAATAATTTCTCAAAATGGAAGCTTCAGCTGATTTTATGTCTTTAGAGCAGCCCATCTCTCTATCTCTCCCTTTCTCTCTGATCCACCAAATTAATCAGCTGTGATTAACGAGCCACAACATGAATGTTGGCAACAATGAATGAAGAGCTTAAATGCTGAAAGTGGATTTTCCAATTACAAATAGACTTTCCTTTCTTCTTATTTATTTATGGGGGAATTTATTGATACGGATATGGGTGATGTAATGCATGCCCTTTCTCTCTGCCCCCCTCCCCCCCTCCCGTACACTGCCATCAAAATGAATTGAATCGGCAAAACCTAACAGCAGAACGAATTGAAGGTTTATCAGAAGAAAAAGAAACGAAAGAAAAAAGCACAGAAAGTTTTTGCGCAATTTTCACGAGATGGCATTAAGTAAACATGGAATTGTGCTCGTGTAGTTTCCTGATTACAAAATAAAGCGTTGGGAAAAGTGATGAAAAATGAAGAGCTGATCATAAAAGCAGCGACAGCGGGACCTCTCCTCTCTTCAGCGCGATTGCAAAGTCGTAAAGCAGCATGTCATCACGTCATCACGCCAACAGAGCTGCGCAACACGTCAGGCCTCAGCCAAGCTATGTGCGAAGAGGGTGTGAGAAAGAGGGAGGAGAGTTTGCATGCAAGACGGCAGCCTGTCTGGAGTAAGGAAATCGGAGTTTGAGTCTACTGCGTACTGGCGAGACGCCGTGTCAGACATAATAGACTTGCTTGGGCTTTGTTTAGAGCGACGAGAATGTGTGTGTGTGTGTATTTGTGTGTGTTTATGGCTTGCGAATTCGACGCCGTATTGGAGTATTGGGGAAATATGCACGATTTTCCAATTGACGCGCCGAGAGGGTTGTTGCTATTGGCGCAGTTCTTGTAAGAACTTTTTATTGCATAAATAAAAACGCACACACACACACAACCATCGTCGTACATATGTATGTATGTAAATGTAGTTTTGCACTCTTGGGTCAATTTCAAATTTCTTTTACACCATGTAAATGTAGACCTCGCTTCGAGCGCAGTCAACTGAGCAGACACAAACAAGTACGCGGGCTAAGAGCAATAGTCGAGCCAACAAGAAGCAACTCCCCCTCAACCCCTCCGACAACAAAACAACTCAGCAATAATAGAAGAGCAACTAAATATTTTATAAACACTTCTACACACAAACATATAGACGCGCTGTACAAACATGGGCACTACTTGCACCGTTATTTGATTGCACAGACAAGTGCTAGACACTATGAAATGTAATATTAACTCGCATAAACATAGCCATAGTAGTAGCGCACCCTTTTACGCATTGCGCGCAGAACACACACAGCGACCATGCGAGAGACCTCGCAATCCGGCGGGGTAATTGTACGGAGGCACACAGACTGGTAGACGACATATGCAAGCACGTATTTTGGTGAAAATAGAAGAGCTCGAAGGGATGGCCGTTGATCAGACGGGCGCACGTACGTACGAATGACTGATGGAGCGGCACGGAGCGGCGCTGGATTGGTTGTGGGATGGACGCAACGACGTGTGGATAGCTAAAGGACAGTCGGTGTGTCGCTTGAATGACTGTGTGTTTAAGTGCAAGTACAAGTAGTTTGTGCTGCGAGGCTTACAACATTTGAATGGCACTGTAAAATTGCGCGTACGACTCTCTACGTGTATTATTACCACTAGACAGCGTAGTTACCAAGTCATTTTGGGGTCATAACGTACACGTACGTCTTGGCATACTAGAGTCGCCACCAGCTACGGTCTCTCTCTTCTCTCCCGCCTTCTCTTTCTTCCGCCGCCTCGTCTGTGAACTCGCTTTGTGTTTTGTGCACTTGACGCTTTTTATTTAGATTATTTCCAAACATTTTTGCACAATGGGCTTTGATGAAATATGAGCCCGTTCGACCTAGTAGCTTGCCAACATTTATTTCATATCTTTTTTCCGCTTCTTCTTCTTTTTGTTATAATGTTATTTGAATTTGTTGTTGTTGTTGTTGTGTTTTTTTTTTTTTGCAGTACAAGCGTTGTGCAGTGACTTCGAAAGTTCGCTGCTGTGAGTGAGCTAGTCACTTTACTAACTGCTGGTGGCTTGTGCGCCCTTCTCTTGAACAGTCACGCCTACCAACGCCCAACGTCGAGCTGGCGCGCTTTGGTATTGTGAAGTTCAATGACGCTGCTGTGGAAGCTTTGCATTGTCCGTCCGCTCAGAGTAATGTAGTTTAAATAACGGTAAAGTTTTTGGTTTTTGAATTACATAAGACCGAATGAAGTGGTCGCTGAACTAGTGTGGTGGGATTGAATATATCCATTACTCATACTCATAAAGCTCCTGTTGCAAATAGAAGAGCTTGATATTAGAGCTGAGCTTTTGCAGTTGAGTCCAAATTTAATAATTCGCATTACTGGATTCCATGATGGTGAGTTGAGCGGAGAGAGAGAGAGATATGCGAGTGTTAGTTCTGAGAAGAAAACCTATAGCGAGATCATTGTACTGAACCGTATTGGCAGCAAGCCACAGAGCTTTATCATACGAAGAGGAGGAGCTGAGGTAGGATTTCAGGTATTTCCTGAGTTCAGTCAAGGTCAATGCTTACAATGTATATATGTGTTAATTACACCTAAGCTTATCAGACGGCTACAATCCAAAGCCATCCGTAAAATCTGGCTCAGCGGACCAAGTCTTATTCCCATGATACTTCTTCTACACTAAAATTTCTTTAACCGCGCAGTTTCAAAATCTGTGGATAACGCGCACAGACGGAGCTCATTCTTCTACTTATGGAGCTCACGTTCAAGCGAGCGTAAGTTGGGCGCATAAAAGGTACTCTGTTCAGACCAGAGCAAATGTTTTATGTTACTTGCATCGCATCTGACAATTCTCCCGCATATTGAAGTTAAAAGAATTCATAACCCTTCCGCTCTGCTAGGAGTCATGAATACTGAAAATTGAGATGACTTCTTTGACGTGCTCCACTGCTTGTGAAGTGAGAAGGAGAAAGAGCGTTACACGGAAAACAAAGAGATGAAGATGTCTCTGTCAAGGTTGGAAAGCTTCGAAAGCGTTAGCCCCTTTATAATGAAATGATATCCCACTCACTTCGGGGCTTAGCTAATCAGCCTTAATCTGATTGGTGAGTAACCTGGTAGCAAACCCAGCACTGCTACTGCGGTGGACATCGGATTTCCCCGCACACTACTTTGACCGCCAAATCCGCCTTGACGGATAAGCGATCGTACCAATAAGATGAAGACAAAATACAATATAAACCATTCAAATAAGGAAGAGAATAAAGCCAGGAGGTCACCCTCTAGAGTCCCTAGGGGTGGTCAGCGATGAAGGTAACACTCGATGAGCTCTATGAGAGGCCGTGGACAGAAGGAAGAGAAATAGAGACACTAAGAATGCCCTGTCGCAATACAAAAGGGCATTGGGGATAATGTCAGATACTAGATGGGGTGGTAGATTTGTCTACATGTGGGAGAGATATTTTGGAGAGCGCTTCACAGTCGCCAACTCGAAATACTATAATAGTATAGAGTAGAAGCATGCAAAAGGCTATTTGAAAAGGCAACGCTTCAGGGCCTCCGCTGGGAAGCAGCAGTTCAGTCAACAATAAGCATGGAAAGCTCATAGGACGAAACGATGAAAGGCCCTCAACATCAAGGGCAACAAACATTGGTAGAGGCTAAGCGAGGTTGCTACACAAAACCTAATTGCCGTTTAGCCTCATGCGCATATGAGCACCGAATGGTGGAAATCTGTGAAGAAGGAGCTACAAGGCCTAGTGATAACACATACGAGTATGCGGGAGGCACCATGTAAAGCTACTAAAGTACAGATCCGTGTGCATTAAAGTCAGAAGATGTTCTGCAATTACTGCTAGCATGGAACCAGAATATTCCTACAAGGGATTGGACATCCTATCGAGCGTTTTTTTTTTTTTGTCAAGACCGTCAACAAACTAATTGGACTTTATCAGTGTGGCTTTAGACTTGGTAAGACAACCATTTACCAGATATTTACCATACGACAAATCTTGGAAAATATCCGTGAAAAGAGTATCGTCACCCACCACTTCTTCGTCGATTTTAAAGCCGCCTTCGACAGCACGAATAAATGCTGCCTTACACCGCTATGCCTGAATTTGGAATTTCTAAAAAACTTATACGGCTGTGTAATCTAAGCTACACTACCGAAGTTTCAGACAAGGTTACTCTTTCTCGTGGGACTTTTTTAACTTATTGCTGGAGAAATTTATAGGAGCTGCAGAGCTGACTAGGGAAGTTATAATCTACTAAAACAAACGTGGGTTGTACATTCCAGACGGGGCAAGGAAGCGAAGCGTACGGGTCTGGGAGTGAACGAAGACAAGACGAAACATCTCCTGTCATCAAATACACAGTCATCGGGTTCGCGACTCGGCTCTTTCGTCACTGTTGCCAGACAGTTCCTCGAGATCCAGGAACCAGTTTTGACACCAACAACAATGCCAGTCTCGAAATTCAACGCAGAATCACTCCCTCAACAAACAACGAGCAAACTCTACAATTTACTCATCTTCCCGTACTGGTATAGGACGCATGTGCGATGACAACATCTGATGAGCCGGTGTTAGGAGTTTCCGATGGAAAAGTTTTGCCTAATATTTATGATCCGCTGCAAGTTGGCAACGGAAACACCGCAGCCGATGGATAGAGGACATCAGTTTTCTTCTGATAAACTTACAACATAGAAGCGACGTTCTGATATTTTGAGCTGGATCACTTACTGTCGTGTTGATTGTGCCGTCGGGGCGTTTAAGCTTAAGCTCCTGCCGAAGTTGGCTCTTGGTTGGTTGTTTTCTTTATTATTATTATTATTCTTATCTTTCTTCCTATACACATTAGTCTTTGCTCTCTTAGAAATATTTTCATATTTGTTATTGCAGACGGAATTAGCAAGCAAGACTATTTGAAACACCACCCAGGTAGAGTAGAGCCAGAGACTCTTAAATACTCCTTATGACAGACAGAGTTCTTGCATTAAATGCAGGCAGACAGCGAGGTATGAACCCGAGGTCGGATTTCCCTCAAACCGAAGTGGTGGGAGTCGACGAAGTGAGCAACTTAAAATTGAAGAATTTGAGTTTTGAGGTTCCCTCGTCTGCTGCAGTTTTAATTAAGTTTTTATACGTGTGGGGAACATGGAGCAATATGCCCGCACAAGTGCTGCAGTCAGGCGCATCGGAATAAATGAATTTTTAAAGCGGGTGGTACCGCAAAAAACAAAAATCGGCCAACCAACCAACAATCGTCCGCAAAAAAAACGCTTTACATTGAATTAAAAGTAAATTTGAATCAAAAAAAACTCACCTCTAGCAAAGACACCAGTACGATGAAGAGCGGCGGCGGACAACAGTGTGGAGCAGCATCTGCCAAATATGTTTCCTCTCCGTTCTCAACCTTCCCCGGCAACCGTTGCTTGGAGCAGACAGTGCGACATGTGCTCTGATTTGTCGCCAACGTTTCCGGTCCAACTGTAGCAACGGTAACTGTTTGAGGAGCTCTCCAACGGGAGCTCGGAGTTGGAAATGGTAGCGTTGTTGCTTGCAATTGGGCGGAAAGCGAGCAGAGGTTGGTTGTTGTGTAATTGTTGGTGCACGAACACGATGGGATGCGCAACACAATTGCAGCGTCACATAGGCTGAACTGTTGCGGCGTGAGAAGAGATGTCAAAGGGATTTTAGTATCTGCACAGTGAGCTTCCGCTAGATCATTTGTGCTCGCAGCAACTTCAGCTATTTCTATTATCGTGTCTGTTGCTTTCAATTTCTTTGGCTGTGAATTTGGCTCAGATTGTAGTTGTTGTGGTTGTTGGTTTTGGTGTTCAAGTTGCAAATGTTGTTGTGCTGTTCCTGACGTTGGCTTTGGCTCTAATACGCGCGCTGCTATTGCTGTCTCTTCGCCCGGCACTGACGTGCGCTCCTTTTCGGGCTCAATTATTTTTCCAAACTCCGTTTCTTCGCTGAGCACCGCTGCTTTTTTGAGCTCCATAACATTTTTGGGTTCTGCTGCTGCTGTGAGCTCACCTGCCTCGGGCACCTCCTCTGTTTCTGCAAGCACATCTACTTTGGCAAATACTGCCGCTTTTGCGAGCTTCGATGTCTCCATGAGCGTCTTATCTTCTTCTGTCATATACATATATAAACGCTAATAGCGCCTCTCCTAAACAAATTCATTTGGTTATGTTGCACATTTGATGTTGTTATTGTTGTTCTTGCTCATCCAACCCACTTCTCGCCAGCTAAGCGAAATTTTTTGTTCACACATTGACGAGCTCGCAGCGACTGCCAGACGCTGACTACAAGTTGAAAATATTTATTCACGTCTCTTCGACTTGCCACATGCCACTCAGTACGTCCTCCGTTGCCTGTCACCTGCTGCAGTGTCAGTCCGCCTCCGGCTGATGCGCCCTTGTTGCGGCTGATGTGAATGAAGTTGGCAACAATTTATTTACGTCCGCTTGAAGTGTCTACAAAGAAGTAAGAAATGCATGATAGTTCCACCGCGCAAAAGAAGGTAAGGAAAAAAGGAACTTGGTGTAGTGTATTTGGCTCAAGGTTACTTCCGTACGAAAATAAAATGTATTGCTGCACCAACAGACGCGTCGTCATGCCTTGTGGAATTTGCGTTGGCACAAAACGCGCACAGAATGTCACACACTCACGCTCGCATACAGTGCTTCGAATATACTCTGTCATTCAGCTGGATTAGCATTAGTCGCACATTGACACACTCAACACACGCAAGACGTCTTACCGCACCCCATCACACCTCATACGGGCCTCGCGCGTATTTCCATATAACTCCATATGTATAAATGTCCATTGGAATCAAAGCAAATGTCTGGAAATAAGAAAATTCCTCTTTTATTTTCGCTTACCAAAGTGTAAAACGTGTCAACCTGACTGCCTTGGCTGCCTTCGCTGTCGCCACCAAAGTCTTGAATGTCTTCCCCGCCATAGCGTTCCGCGCGCGCCACGCGTTCTACGCCACGGACTGAGGCAATGGTGTCAAGACAACTGCCAATAATAGACACACCAGTATTGTAGACGCGCTCCAGACCGTCTTGGCGTTGACTGGCTAGACGTGCATAGCGTGCGCCAAAATTGCAGTGATTTGGAACGAACGGAGAGACAGTGGGCAAGACAGAGATGACTGCCATTATTACTCAGAGCTCGCCAAAATTATATCCAGAGCTTGAGCTCGTGTAGAAAAGGTTGATGGTAAATAGCATTGCAGATACTTGGAGTTGGCCATCAATTGAGGAGAGAGAAAACAATCAGCTGGAAGAGAATACACTTCTCTTGTAAAGTAGATTGTGAGGGTTCTTGAGTCTCCTAACATACCATATTTTTTAGAAGTCAGGCGGCAATTCGGAAAGCTTGGGGTCAAATCCCGATGCGATCAACATCCAAAAGTTGTAGAAAATTAATTTAAATCAAAAATGAGCTAAATTTTCTTAATCCGGTCGCCCCTCGGCAGGGAAGGTCAGCCCCTCCGAGTGTGCTTCTGACATGAAATAAAGCTCCTCATAAAAGAAACCATCAGCAATGCGGTGGGGTCTTAGTATAAACTGTAGATCCTTCCATTTGGTGGAAAAAGGATCAAGACGCAAAATTAAAAATTGGAGGAGGGCTCGGCCTAAAATCGCTTTAGCGGTTACAAGGCGCCAATTATATATATATAACGGATCAAAGAGAAGTGACCTCTGAGAAATCAGTCTAGAGATTATGTTAGATTAATTGAATAATTTAAATAATTATTTTCCGAGTCTACTTAACAATTCTTGAGAGGCAAATCTACAAACGCAATTGGCTGATTGAAGCTAGTACTCAAACTAACGCACTACGGTATCGAAGCGGTAGGACAGCACAGACAGCTTTTACAGTAAAAAGCAAAGTTTTAAACCCTGACGAATGAGTACCATTCGAACCTTGGCCCTTCCGTCCAAAAACCAAAGTCGCGCCCAAAAAAGCTCCATATAACCACCAGCACAGCGTTTGTGGAATTGTCGTGGGGATGTCGTAGCTGTTGACTGAAACCTCTTTCAAAAAATTTCAGCTCAAGCTGCTAGAGAAAGTTAAGGTGGCTTTGAAATATCTCTACCGATCCTCGGTGTAAAAGCTCAATTAAATTTTGTGTTTCACTCGTCTCCTCTAGTATAGTTGGGCGTCTAACGATCTTTCTACGAGAACTCAGCTGAAAGCTTTTCATCATTGAATGAAGAAATGAACTATGACGGAAGTTTGAAAAAGTTTCAGAAACAAAATCTTTATTGCTACCAGAAGGCACTTGGAAAGGGTAAAGAAATCGGTGATAGTCATAAAAATGCCTTAATGGACGCTGAGGCAAGAAGAGTGTCAAAATAATCTCGCTGAAATCGCAGACAAAAATTCTCTCAGCATTACCTCGCCCGCTCTGCTGAGGTCTTCCATAACATTTCCAATGTGTGTTATGGTCAACCAAGCTAGTATTCGAACGAGCGCCTCCTACAATTTGTGGTTTGCATCTTGATGTTTTTCCAACAAATTGTGGGTTCTATAGTTTCTTCTAAGCCCCCTCGTAACGACCGATGGATTTTTATGAGGAGCTTTCATTTCATGTCAGAAATACACTCGAAGGGCTAGCCATTCCCTATCGAGAGGACGACTTGACTCAAACCTTGACCGTCCGAAGTGAGTACTCATTGCTAATACGCTCGACTATTAGAGGCGCCTAATACCTTCTTATACATTTTTATCCATTTGGATCTGATGAGATTGGTCTTCTTACTAAAAGTGATACAGCCACTCTGAGCCTCTGGAGTATCAGAGCATAGAAACCAACGCTCATTTCTAGCTTCAAAAGCAAATAAGAGTTTACTTTTTGGACTTTCTGGTATCTTGAATTGAGTTCATTCAAATGTCTCTAAAATTATAAAACCACTTTTCTCCCAACAACTACCCACTGTGCGTCGCGTCTAGAATTTAGTTGCTAAGTCTGCAAATGAGACAAGAAATTATACTCAACCAAAGTTGCCTTAATACCAACGAAGCGTCTACAAAAACTTCTACTCATTGGACATTCACACACACACACACACAAGCATAACAAGCAACAAAGTTAGGCGCCAGTGATAAAATTTACCAAAAGAATCAAAAAGTAATAAAAAATTTTAGCGGAAAAAACAAATGCAGGAACTGACATAGAAAAATACTTTTTTGGCAAGCGAAAAGGACTGCAGTGAGTTTGGAGAAAAAAAAAACAAAAACAACATAAATTGCAACAACACAATAAACACAACAACAATCAGTGACTACTACAAATCGCCTTGGCATTTACAAAATAAATACAAACATATTTAAGTTATGCAATATAATATTGCCGCGTCCCACAGACCCTTGTAATGCCGGAGGGAGGTGCAAAGCTGGAAATGCGATTCACAGCGACTTCAGCAATGGAGAAAAAAATAAACGAAATTCAAATACACATAATCAATTGCTTCCGATATTCGTGATTTCAAAAGTACAGGGCTGTACTTTGACACCGGTCAAATTGAATTGTCAAACCAAACAGGTTTTGTTTTAATTAAAAGTCAGGCTTTTACGAAAAATGATCGCCGCTTAACACACATCGCCAAAGAACGCATTAAAATGGTTAAGACGTCCACAAAAAAAAAAAAAATTAAAAAACCTACCGACCGAGCCGAAATCACCGCGATAACGGAAGCCGCCACTTGACTTCTCGTTTCTAATATAATAACCCGACCTATTGGAAAATTATCTGGCAAGCGGTCTCCCATTAAGTCTCTCCAATGCAATCATACCACTACAAAGGTGGCAATAAAATGCCGAGAGATCTTAAACAAATTCTCGACTGTATGCGAATTGTGCGTGGATGACCAAGTGGTCATAAGAGCACAGCAGAGAATTACGTAGACGACGAACTGGCTAGAAAGGGAACAGTCTTAACCACGGTAAACTCTGCACATGACATGGGCAAACCGCTTCCTTCAGCAAAATATCTGCTAATACTGGTAAAGCGATGTGACAAAATTCTGGCCATTTATCGAAGTAAACAAAAATAAGACTGCACTCCTTCTTAACCGAACCTCCATAAGCATAATAACCGACATAACAACCAAACCCCCCCGTGCGGTAAGGCATTCCTGTCGTAAGAGGCGACTAAAATCGTTCCCACGACAGTCGGGTCTTTATACCGGAACGAGACGGATTTCTATCCGGCTAAGGACTGTCACTCCCGCAATATCCTCCAAAAAAGTACTTTGGGGAATATTTTTGTGGTTACAACAACAACAACAAAAAACAACGACAACGTAATAACCAAACACTGTCTTATGAGAATGGGCTACTTCTCAAATGACTTCTGTCGTAGTTACTGGAATATTGGTGAGATGAAACATTACTTCTTTCACGTTTGGTCCGTCATTGTTTTCTCGGAAATTTCTTTCATAAAACACACCAAGAGGTTTGAGCATTTGGAAAGGTTAAAAGAATCTCCTGAAGAGGGCCAACATAGGTATCACAATGGACCAGTAGGCCTAAGTCCGCACGATCAGCAACCTTCAAATCTAACTATCCAACTATCTAAAGATGGTCATTCCAACGTGGTCACGCTTCGTGCTTTAAGAGCTCTTTATGGTGCACATAATTGTTCAACTACTCAGACAGTTGATAAAATTTTAAAGAAATTTCATGAGACTAGATCGATTACAGATATTGTAAGTCCTGTACATCATCGTTTTACTCGTTCCACCTCAAATATAGCCACTATCGACGTAAGTGTAGTCGAAGGCCCGAATATTATATATATTTCTAAGCGACCTCAAGAGCTGGGAGGGACGTTCAAACGTATAATAACCCACTCGGCTAAAACAATATGTGATTTCAATAAGATGGAGCCACATGCTACACAGCACGAGTGAATCCGGCTCAATTGCGAGGGAAACTTCCCGGCCGCGTTCAACTTATTTTTGTAGGGCTATGTTAGAGACCGTTAACTAATATTCGTGAAGTTATGGCTGATATACCGTCCAAAAGGTGGTCGAAAAGACCTCAAACGTTTTGAATTTTGCAAATATTTGCGTAGCGGTCATTTCAATGATGAAAAGTTTCACATACGCGTAAAATGCCGAGGTTCAAACCGCATAACAAAGAAGGAATGTTATGAAATT